GAAATATCTTATTGTGATTCAACATATCGACATAAAATTTTACCATTAATTTATATATATAAATCTTTATTTCTTATAATGGGTGGTTATTTAGCTGCTAAAACACGTCATGTTCATATAGCTGCATTAAATGATTCAAAATTTATTGTATGGAGTATATATGTAGTTGTTTTAACAAGTTTATTTACATTTATTGTCATGATATCAATGAATAATTTAACAACATATGTTGTTATATGTTTAGTTGTTATTATTATGACAAGTTCAATATTATGTTTAGTTTTTTTACCAAAAGTAAGAAAAAATGAAACAAATTTTTTTTTTGTTTTTTCAATGAATTTTTCCTTTTTTTTTTTTGGTATTAGGTATTTATTTTACAAAATCGACGTAAATCTTTACATGCAGTTGTTTCAAAAGATTTAGTTGTTGGTGAATCACGTACAAGACGTTTTGTTGTTGAAATAAGTTATTATGAAAAATATCGTTATGCACAATTACAAAATCGAGAACTTAAAACAGAACTTATTCGAGTAAGAACAAAAAAGAAACACTATAGATCTGTTCAAGGACAAGAAACACTAGATATGAGTAAAACTACGAAGACTTAGTAAACTCTTCTAAATTGAGTATGAAACCTTACACGAAAGTATTTCGTACTTTAAAAATTTCTTATAATCTTCTATAATTTTTCCTTTATTTTGAAGATTCTGTCTGATGAGGAAACCTCTTCAAGTGTTAATTGCCAATCGAACTCATATTTCGGCCCCATACTCGTCCTTCCGGAGTTACGACCGTTTTTTCGAACTCTAACAATGGTATTTGTAGGGAAGGCCAACGATTGAACAGGTATCATAGTCAGAGTATCCTGAAAGTTGTAGCCAGAACGAACATGTCTTTTTCGAGATATTGAGTTTCCAAGAAGCTCGGTTTTTTGACGTTTGCCTTTGAAATATGATCGTTTCTTAAAAATTCAATATCTTGAGAAAGAAACGTTCATTTTAGCTGAAAATTTTAGAACATTCTAGTGACCATGACATCTGTTTATGGGCAAAATTTCATTGTTGAGCTTCCCTATAAATTCCATTGTCAGAGGTCGAAAAACTCGTAAAATGATCGTAATTCTGGAAGGACAGCGTATGAGGACGAATGAGGTTCCCTCGTAAGTGATTATCCAATACTGATTAGAAAATTTCATTGAGAGGATTAAATTACGGTTTGATCGAATCTCTAAAACTTGAATAAACAGAGCCCGGGTATAAAAGTTTTGAACCTGACGTTTTCTACTGAACAGTCGAACCCTTACTGAAAGAAATGAGCACATTGATACCGAAATATCTGAATTAGTTTCTATAAATTTTTAGCTTATGTGAAACATCTTCTATTCTTGCATAATCAATTGAAATTTTTCCAATTGTGTTAGAAAAACATAGTGTAACAGCAATCATTGATAGAGTCTTAAATATGTCTAAATTACACAAAAAAAAATATATCTATAAAAACTAGATTGTTTTTTTTAAGATCCTTGTTGTTTAGAATAGTTTTATAATATATAATAGTAGAATACTAAAATTAGAAATGATTATTATTTTTATATAGTTAAATCATCTTTTACATGCTGTTCAACAAAGACTTGATTCAATGCCTTCAAATGTTACAATAACTCTATTACCAATAGCTGTTCATTTAGCATCAACATGTTTACATACATCAGAAGTTCAGTATGTACCATTAAAAAAATAGATAATAAAAAAAACAACAAATTTTTATTCAAACTTTATTTTAGATCATCAACTACTGCATCAAATAACAAAATAAATATTGAACCAATTAAAACTTCAACAGAACAAATTCATTTTCTTGAACATAATTCAATTAGTTCAAATAATACATTATTTCATTTTGATCAAACATATTTATCATCATCACAATCATCATCATCATTATCTGATCTTAATCTTTCTATAGCTTTAGAACCAACTAATGATATTAGTTCATTACCATTAAGTACTTTAGATGATCAAGAATATTTATCAACAGATGATGCTGATGAAAATAAAAGTCTACTAGCAACACCAATTCAAGCAATAAGTGATAATGAATCGGTGCTTTATTCACGTTTACCAAAGGAATTAAATATAGGCACAGCAACATTTGATAGTGATCTAGAAAGAATAGATTAATTAGTTGTCTTGGTTTTTTTTTTTGTAAACTTGGAAAATGAAGAATAAAATAAATTATGTTCATGTTTTTAGTTTAGTGATATTCGTTTTAATAGAAAAAGCAAAAATGTTTATTCATCAATCTATACTGTTGATTAGAAAAATATTAATTTTATTAATGAAGAAAAATGTATTAGATAGATAGACTTTCGAAAAATTTTTTCTAACATACATGTGAAATCAAACTCGAACTAGTACAAGTTAGTTCGATTCAACATCGGTTACGAGTTACAAAAAAAATCAATAAAAATAAATGTAGAACATTCGAATGCAATACAGTTACGCTTTTCATGATCATCAGTATTAAGATCATACCGTCATCATGTCATCTCAATTAACATAAAATAAATAAAAGAAATTGGATTAGATTTGTGTTCATAACTTAATCTAGTTGATCTACATGATATGAGAGAAAAAAAGCACTGAAATATTATTTTCTACATACGTAAAGTATTGTTAAAAAATCAAATTCACACTTAGATCTCATGTGATGCATCGAAGATTAAAGAGATTCCGGAAAGATCGCACGACCAAAGTTTCACATAGTGACTCTGAGAGTACTGGATAATGGTGCGACGTGAGAATGAGGAGTGTGAGTGTGGATGGGGTGAGGTTGATAGGATCTGCTTTACTTCTAAACCATCATCTCTCGTTCTGTGCGCAAGCTTCATCATGCGTATCTTTTATACACTTCAAGATAGGTGTGCGTATGTGTGTTTGACTGAATATGGACACATAGAAGCTCGAGAAAAAGGATTAGACTATGTTTATTATAATATTAAGTTTCATGAATTCTTTTTCGTGAGTAACATAGAAAAAAAATTTTATGTCGATAAAATTAGAATAACTTGAGATAATTTTCATTAAAATACAAGAAAATGAATTGCTAATCACCAAGCAAAAAAATGAAATAATTTGAACGAATTTATCTAAAGATACATCAATACAATGAATAGGTCCTGAAAAGTGTAAAGAAATTGTAATTAGAAATAAGATAGACTACATGTTAAAAAATGAATGAAATTTTGAAAGACAATAATGCATTTATACAACTGAAATGTGATCCTACAATCAAGAAAGATGATAACTGAAGAAAAAAATTGATTTCTTATTGAAAAAGAATATCAATATTCTCGTCTAGTAAGCTCACGATCGCGTAACATATAAGGCTTGCAAATAATACATAAATTTGGTCTACTACTTCGTCCTCTTGTTTTAATTTCAGATACGTTTAAACCTGTGACAGCTCACAATTCTAAGAACTGGTACCAAGTCGCTCACACTCATGATTACTCATATGAGCACGAGGATTTCTTTTGTACTTCGAATATGCGAGTCACCTATGGTAAGAACGAAGCGTACTTTTATGTCAGTCATATCAAAGAATGTCATGAATAACCTCTGATCCGCCCAAACAATAACATGTTTTATACCTACAATAGGAGAAAAAATTCTGGAAAAATCTAAGCGGCTGTTGTAAGGACAACGCATATTGTTGTTCGAGTCATATGAAAGAGAGTCCTGGACAATCCCTGATCCACCAGAACAACGCTATGCTTTGTCCTTATAATGGCAGGGAAAACCCTTCTGAAATCTGATTGATTGATAGCTGTATTCCATCGATCAATCAGATTTCAGGAGGGTTTTCCCTGCCATTATAAGGACAAAACATAGGATTAGTTGGGCCAATCCTAGGGTTATCCGAGGTATTCTTTCATTTGACGCTAACAACAGTATATTTTGTTCTTACAATAGCTGAGACACAGGTTTCTCGAATCTGATTGATCGACAGCAAGGTTGGATAGCTCAGGATGAAGAGCTCTCACGTGTATATGAGCAACTCATCAACGTAAATGTGAGCTGTACACTGCTAGTCCGAAAAATCGCCCACGTTCATATAAGGGCTTATTCGCTTAAGCGGTACATCTCTACCTGTGATAGCTTACAGTTCTAAGAACTGAATCCAATGATAAGTTCTCATTCTTTTCAAGAGAACTGGGTGATTAACATCAGTTTAATTCTCTTAGCAGGAACTGTTCCAGATCTAGATGTGACAATATATCATGATCTATGAGAAGCTAGCAAAACACAATGAGCAACAAAATCATATTTTTGACAGAATAAAGCAAACCTAATGATTACTCTCTTGTTTATCTAAATGATTTCAATTGAAAGATTTTTCAATTACAACAAAAGTTTTAGTATTTCTTTTCTTAAAAAATCCTTCAATGTTGTTTATCGTTTTGCTTTTGAATTAATATTTAATATCAGTTAGATTTGATTCTAATCTACGAAATAATTCTTCCACTTTTTTTACTTTCATACTAACCTTGTGCTGTGATGGTTTTATATATCAGATAATGGGTTCATAAATGCATATATGTTTACATTAAAGAGGTAATAATAACAAGAGGAATTGCACTAAAGTGTTGACTCTTCATAATTACGAAGTGTTATAAGATGTATACTTTACTCTTTTTTTATTCCTTCAAAAATGACATCATAAAACAGCGACATCCGTTGACGAAATTACTGACTCACAATGTACATTACCAATCTTTCTCTATATTTTGAAATATTGTATATATTCATTGCCTAATTTCACAATAACTAAATTACCGGATTGGCACTATTCTGTTTCTTACTGATAAAATAATTATTTATATTTCATTTTCACTAGTACATGTAACTATTAAAATAGTCGATATGCATTCAAAAAAAAACAAAACATTTTATTTTTAGAATAATAATAATAAATTTGATGTGATTTTCTTTTCTTCCATGTGTCCTCGACGTAATAAATCAGATAATACATCAAATTCATCAAAACAACAAGAACGTGAAACTCGACAACAAGAAAAAAAATCTCGTGAAAAAAAAGCTCATGGAAAACAAGTTGAAAATATTGGAGAATTTAATAATCAATTACGTACATTTAATTTACAATTAAGATATATTGTAGGTGATGGCAATTGTCTATTTCGAAGTTGTAAGTTATTTAGAAGTCTTCTTTTAAAAAAAAATTATTCTTTTCATAATTAGTTTCCGATCAAATGGATGGTGATCAACATCGACATGGTTATTATCGAGAGAAAATATGTGATTATATGCGTGCAAATCGTACTGATTTTGAACCATTTATTGTTGATCAACCATTTGATACATTTATTCGTTCACTTTCAAAAGATGGAACATACGGTGGAAATGAATGTCTTGTTGCATTTTCACGTCTTTTCGATGCTAAAATATGTATACATCAAGTAATTATTTATATAATAGTCTATTTGAAATAGAAAATTATCATTCGAAATTTTATAATTGCCTATATTAAAAATTAGGTTTGAAAGATAAATTGTAGAAATATAGAGACAACAATAGAGTAACTCTGTTAAAAAATTTGTCTCAGTCAGAGTACGGTATATGAAAAAATAGCTAATCTTGCACATTCCCAGGACGAACAATCCGACAGTTGGATCTTATCGGAAAAATTATCGGATCCGATGGGGTGAGTTCGACCTGGGTTGCTTATAGGTTATGCATTTTTTTTTAAAATTCAGTTCATTTAGAATTTTATTTTCTATAAAATTCTATATTGTCGAAAGCATTGTGTTTAGAGATTTGTACAGTAAAATAGTCGTGACCACGACTATGACAAAGACCACAGTCATGGAAAAATCGAAGATTTTTTGTGTAATTTTCGTTTAAAACTACAACTTACAGATGAAACTATAATTAAGTTTGATAACATTAGTACTTAAGAAAGGTTTTTTTTGAAAGCTTTATTAGCGTAGTCGTTAACTGGATCTGAAAAATTTTCGCGACCGTAATTAAAAGATCATAATGTTTCATACAGCAATGCAGTTTGATCCGATGAAGTATTGAGAATTTTTTCCTAACAAAAGCTTATACAAGAAAATGGATCTGAGGTTAAATTATTAGATTCCTACCAAATAATCTCTGCTAGGACTAACATATTCATTTTTGATAATGGATAATGCAAAAGTTATGCAATAATCTTGTCTTGTAGGATAGTATAACAACAATTAATCGTCAGGATTCGATAGTTGTCTTTTTAGACAGAATGAAGTCTCTACTACAAAGTTATGTAAACAAATTTAGCAAAATCTGAAAATTATTTAGAACATAAGTCATTGAAAAAAGTATATCGGATTGATTTTTCTTTCATTAAGCATTCGAAGTTTTTAGTTAGATTATGTGTGAGTGTAAATAACATGATACATGCTTTCTACTAGTATCAAAACCATAGCTTTCATAGTAACTAATTTTATTTAAAATTTTATTTTCTCTTTATAACGACCAAATAATTTTTTTTTTTCCTATTGTCTAATATTCTGTCTTATATAATGTGTTTGTGTTAAAGGGTTCAATAAATTTGATTATACTTAAAATATGAACTTCAATAGTTGGCAAAAAAATTTTATTTTGTGATATTATTATTTAGTTATGAACACTTTTCACTAGTAAAGAATGTTTAAAAATATGTTAATTTTGAATTCAACTGATAGTTTGAAAGTTTTATTTATGAAAATTTTCTTTTGAATTTCAGAAGTGTACAGAGAACTTTTTTTCATATTTGATAAATATTGCTTTTGTAAGAAAGAATTGACTTGTTCTAACAAGATAACTATGCTATCTTCACGACAAGTTATTGTTACGTTACATTTAGTATTACACACTATTTCAATCGAAATTTAACTCCAAAATTTTCTTCCTTTACTCAATGTTTTATTCAAATTTTTCTCTTCTGCAAGAACAATATAAAACTCCAAGAGAACGAATTAGAACACGGACATCTAATACATAAAAAAAAACCCTACCAACTCTGGGGCGGTGAACTTAATCTTTACATGAGTGTTGCCACTCGCTGAATAAAACAATGCGTTAATAATAGTATTCTGCATAGATTCTAATCTAATTGGAAAATTTGATTATCAGAAATAAATAATCATTTTCTATAATCAATTAGTAATCAGTATGTTTTTTCTTTTCAATATATTATATTTCTATTATTATTTTAGTTAAATCAACCAGTTTGGATAGTATGTTTTTCTGATTCTCCAAAACATGAAATTCATATATCATATCATGATTATGAACATTATTCATCTGTACGAAAATTAGGTGATCATACATCAACATCAGCAAATATTCGACAAACAATGACAACATGTAATGTATCATCAATAAATGAAAATAATAAAAAGACAACTAATGAAACTGCATATGGTGCATGTGCAATGGATTCAATAGAATTATTTACTGAACATGATATTAATTATATTGAATCACAATTAATAAATTCTATTGATCGTCAATTAATTCGTGATACATTAAATGAAAATCATGGTGATATTGATGGAACAATTGCTTATTTACTTGCTTTAGATAATTTATCATTAGAACAACCAATAATAGTACAAGAATCAAATCAATCTATAGAACGAATAATGTCAATAACAGGTGTCTATAATGTTGATATTATTCAACAAACATATGAAAATAATAATCTTAATATGGATTCAACTGTTGAATCTTTACTTCAACTTACAACAAATGATAATGATAAGAATGAAGAAAATTTCAATGATGAAACATTAGAAAATGATCAAATAAAAACAAATTCTCAAATAAAAAATCGACCTATATCAAATCGTCAAGTTAAAGCTGATAAGAAAAAAGCCAAAAAACAACGTGCAACTGAAAAACATCGTGCACAAATTATAGCTTCTTCTGGAAAAACATCAACGAAACAAGTAGATGAAAAATCTGATCTACCTACAAATAATGAACAAGAACATGTACCTCCTGCTAATATGGAATTTATTAATATATAATTATTGTGATATTTCAATAAGTGCTTATTTTTGTATAATAGATCGGTTTTTTTTTGTTGTTTTATTTTTATCAAATAAACATTTGTTGAATCATTTTTAAAAAAACAACGTCCAAACGTTCCTAGTTCGTTTAGATTTACGTCTTTTTCAGTAGTATCAAAACATTAAGTAAAGATAGACTTTACTGTACATATAGTGGCTAGTATCGATTACGATACAGTGTTGCATCCCCTTCAATACCATCAAAGTTCTGTTTTTCCTATTAGAATTAGTATTGATATTAATTCATGAAAATCTATAGATCCAATAATATCAATTTTGAGAAAAAAAAAACTCTTGTTCATTTGTTGCATATATCAAAAAAAAACATTGTCTCCCTCGTCATGATTTGCAGTTTTGCTAATGGCGTCTTTTACTTTTTTGTTATAAATTTCTCGACTATTTTTCGTTTTCTTCGCACTTACACGCACATCCTACTCTCAGGCCAAAAATAATATTTTGTCAGTTAAAATTTTCAATACTTTTCGTTTCGACCTTCCCTACAACACACAAGTTATGTGAGCAGTTTTTTTTGAATTTCTCTTAGAAAAAGACTTGCACATTTTTTTTTATCAACATTTTCCGAAGAAATCATAAACTAGATTATATAATCACTTTAGCCAAGTTATCTCTTTGTCAAAAATCATGTCAATAAAATACTACAGAAACTATTCAATTGAAGGATAGGATATGAATTTTGAATACAGATCCAGATTCATAACGGCTTTGCAGTGTTTTCAAATACAACCGAGATTCACTTCACAATACACCCTATAGAATCTAAGTTTAGAATGAAGCCGACAGACACTGCTTTATTATCAATAATGATAATTAGAATCAACAGAAAAACAAGAGATTCTAATAGACATTTCACCACTATTTTATCTAGCATCATCCATTAATTTCATTAATGATCTAACGAAGTCCGATAATATATTTTGAAGACCACATGAGGCTTCTAACGGTTCCAAGCATTGTAACTAAAATGAATGAACAATAACTATCAAAACAAAACTTCAACAATTTTCTAGTTTTTCTCATTTTAATATTACGATAAACATGTTCACTGTTAGCAGTGTATTAAAATATCAACAATAGTTATCAAGATTTGGCCCTGTGATCTGACTATAACATTCAACCGCACAACTTTTGAAAGAAAAAAATCAATGTTCCTATCGTTTTTCTAAATACAATTTCGTGCGAAACAAAGAGCGTTTCACAACTTTTGCGTTATCCGAGATACTTTTCTTCTGGTTGATTTCAAACGAAATAATTTTCTTAACTGCCTTATATAGATAATTAAAAAGAGAGCTATAGAAATCATTTTTTTTGCCTTCAAGTATTACATAATCTCTTTAGATATGTGTGACAAGTAGATCGGAAGAGTCACATAATAACTTTTGAATGCCGAAGGATAGTGTAACTTCGAGCAATTCAACTCTGTAATATGAGTTACTTTTTTAATTTGAACTATTCACATACTCATACTATCCCTCCTGATAGATACCTATTTGAATTAAATTCGGAAATATCTAAAATAAAAAAAAATGATTTTTCTAGGTTAAATAATACAAATATTTATTCATAATAATAATATCCGTCAAATGTTTCATTTATCAATTAAATTATTACAAATGAAAGTTTCGATTCTGAGTATAGTTTACTTATTAAAAACTTTTTTTAACAAAATAATGGATGCATCATAGAAAATGAAGTGTGTTCAAGGATAGAGAAATCAAAATGCCTTGTAAAATGCTTTCACATTTTCATAACTACTGAAATCATAGAGACACTATCCATGACATTTTTTTGCTATAAAACTCATATCCATCAAGAAACTTGTGAACATGAATGTATGGGTATCACAACCTATTTCGAGAAATGTATCACTTTAGTCTTTATGCATCGCAACAGTGAGAAAAACTAATGATCAATTTTCATCTTTCTAATATTGAGAGTTTCTCCAAAATTTAGAGATTTTTCTTCCTTAGTTCTTGAAGATTGTTGTAGAGAAGAGTGCGAGTGTGAATGGAACAACTCACACCTTCAAGCCCTTCTCCTATTCAATACAAAGAGGTGTGAAGGATTTTTTGATAAATCGTATATGTAGTGTAGTCATTGTTAAAGTCGTTGATTCAGTTCATTGCTTTGCTTCTTTTCGATGAATAACCTACGATGCAAAAGTAATTGCCGAAATGTCAAACTCTATTAGACTGTATTGCTAACTTCTAAACTAACGGAAGTTTTTTTTGTTGGAAAGAATAATATCTGAACGACAAATTTCGTAGCGCACAAATTTTTGTAGAATGGATCTGAGAAGAGATAACAGCCCAAAACGAAACACCTCCAAAAAAGTTCTTGCAACCTGAAAAGTATGTATTTCTCAATTATTTTGAGCTACCTTGGTCAAATTCGAACAAAAAAGTACACCACCATGTAGCCCATTAAAAACTCTATCAATAGTGGCTGCCGCAGAAAAATTTCATATATGCTCTTGGCTCTTTAATGAATGAATTTGAAAAACAGAGTTTTTTGTAAGAACTGCCAGTTTGCAACAGTATCAATCCCTATCTTCACAAATATGCACAAGCTTATTTTTTTGCGTTATTTGTTCGTCATACGTCAGATCATAGACGCTCAACCGAAAAAGCTACTTCAAATATATTGCATACTATTGCAAAACAGCCAAGTAACGAGCACAAGAAAATTAGAAAGTGATTTGGCTGTATACTTTAATTACAAGAACTTTTTTTGGAGATATTTAGTTTTGAACTTTTATCTCTTCTCAGATTCGTTCTACAAAAATTTATGTGCTATAAAATTTGTAGTTCAAACATTTCCTTTTCCAACAAAAAAAAAATTTCGTTCGTTTCGAAGTTAGCAGTGCTGTCTAACAGAGTTTGACATTTCGACAATTACTTTTGCATCGTAGATTAGTTTATTAGAAAAGGAACGATGTGAATGAAGAAAGAAAAAATAAATAAATCGTGTTGGCTTTAAGAACAAAAGGTTGGAAGAAAAGAAGTAAACTAGATTTACTGGTCATCTCGTAGTGTATTTTACTTTGTCTTACGAAAATATATCAGGTGAAAAAAAGATGAAAGAAGAAAAATGAAATATCTCGTTCGTTTAGAAAAAAAAAAAGAAGATTTTTTCATAATGGCAAAAATTGATCGTACAGAGTTTTGCTTTCTTTTTTTGAAAGCAAAAACTATTCTATTAAAATAAGTTTTACTGTGGAGATTGTAGAACTTTTCATACTGTATCTTATGATATATTTTCTTTTTTAATAAAACGTATGAAATGGTGGAAAAATGAAATGCAAAAGTAGGTCATTTATTATGGGTCACCCGTTACTTTTTTTCTATAGCACATCATAAAATATGTTTTCTTTTTGTATTAAAAGATAACAGCCTTGTAACTGTAACTTTTAACAGAATACCTTTATATTTTATAATAAATAATATTGATAACTTTTCAAAATAGTATGAAAATATAATAGAAGAAAACACACTGTCCTCCAAATATTGTCTTATCTAGTACTCTTCGATTCTGATAAGAATGATAGTAAATTACTTGTGAAGAATCATTTCGAGGTTATATCATTTATGATAATGATAGTGTGATTCTTCTTTTTGTACGGCTCTAATGACTACAGCAACTAATTAGTTGAGATGCTTTGTTGTCTAATACTTCAATTATAGTCTATAAAGATCAAGTTCGATTTATTATCTTCTCTACATATTTCATTTGTCTAGAGTAGTGGTCACTAACAAAACACTTGCCCAATGGGAAAACATAGCTTGTACAATCATATCAAATTCAATCAATTCCGCCGACTTCACTAGTATTTTATATCACTCGTAATAATACTCATTGAAGAATCGATACTAATTTTCTTACATTAGAATATGTACGAAATGCTATAACAACATTTAGCCAACATAATATACGTGTTATTATTCGTGTCCATGCTGCTAAAAGAGAAACCATTATTCGAAATTCAATACTTCGAGAAGACTATGATGGGAATCTCTTAGATACATTACATATACTAGATGAAAATCGTGATTCAAAATTAGAATTAGATTGTAGAAATCAACATCGCAATGATCTTCAGTGTATCTATGATGTTAATTCTCCTCGTGTTTGTGAATTTGTCGATGATAACGTCGGTTACAACTTGATAGTTATCCTGAATGTCTATGGATTATCAATAAATGATATTCAACGATTGATCCTAGATGTTGTGAAGCAGTAATCGTTGATTATCTAATAATACAAATCAACATAAATATGAACTTCATAAAAGCTGTTTTGAAGAACCATCATCATGCTTTTATTTCTTGTTTGATCAATTCTACTTCCATCTCGTTATGTCTTTAAAGTATATTTCAATCATCTTGGACTTATTTTCAGTACGAAGCAAGATAAATTATTACTGATTATATTCAACATAATATTTCATTAGATGTCTTTATCATTGATATAGATTAATATATTACATTTTATTAATTACTATCAAATAGTAGAAGAGATCAAGTTAGACAAAGTATTGACTAGACAAGATTTACATTGGACAAGTTCAATTTCTCAAATCATCATAAGTTTTTTTCAATAATGCAAACAATTAGATTTGAAAAATACGTTAGATTTTCATTTTAGCTTCGAATAAATTAAAATAATATACTATTAGCAGTTTGATAATGAACTTATTCATATAGGTATTCAATCATAGAAACAAAAATTTAAAGATCTAACACAAGTTAGGCGGATCAATTCTTCTACTGATCACTAACCATCATTCAATGTTACCGAGAAAAATTACAATTCAAAATTGGCTTAATATTATTTTTCATGCACTTCAAGAAACTAGTATCTACTTATGATGGTTAGATTGACAAGAAAACGAACAAGGTTGGATGATTTTTCTATTGATTCTTATTTTGAAAACAATCACATCCAGCTATTCTTCATCGTTGTAAGCATTTGAAGAATCGTAATTATATATTTAATGAAATCTGAAAAGTGAAGTTTAAAAACATAACAATTTTTCGATATAGATTTATAGAAATTTGTATATATATCATCTAATGATTAAAACTGAAGAAAAATGACAAGAAATCATTATAAATTAAGAACAATCACTAAAAATATTGGAAATTATAGTTTTATAAAATAAAAGAAGTGACTGTATTCTAGTCTCTATAATCTGTACTGATTTAAAAAGTTTTGTTCATAGTCGATAACCTATAATTCACCAGCTTTTCATAAGAAAGCAATGAAACAGTTGAAAACATTTTCTTTGTATGTTAATGTCTTTTCATTTTTTCTATATGACCTATTAGAGTCTGACCGACATCATACTGATAACAATACAAAAAAAAACCTATCTATAATTAATCTATAGTAATTAACCTTGTTAATATGATTGATATTATCAATGATTCTTTTGTTTTCTATTGCAAAGTTGAACATTTTTCTTGCGTTCAATGATGAAGTCTAATTAACTTTTATTGATGATCGTTTCGGTCATCGATTAAGAATATAAAAAATAGCTTCCATCAATTCATTCTAGTGTCGTTTTTCTTTTTTATTCATTCTCTACTATTTTTATATGACCTGATGATCGTCTCATTCTTTTTACCATATACCTTGTCGTGACATTAGCGCTCTCTATCGTTTTGTCAAGTATTTACCTGAATGAGTAAAGGTGTAAATCATTCAATAATGAAAGTTGACCGATAGTTGTTTTACCTGAGATATGAGTCATTCATTATAGACTACTTATTCATATACTTTAACGGTCAAAAGATTGTTTGATTAAATTTATATATATATATATATAAATATAGAAGAAATATAAAAAGAAGAAGACGAGTTTGCTCGAGGCCATTCAAAGGTAATGCATGGCGTCATTGCATCTCGTTATCATTCTATGTTTATTTTACTATTGTCGATCAACTAAATTACCAAATCTTGTTGGTGATATTCTTTTAACTCGTCTTGAAAGTCCATATGATATTTCTGGTGATACAATTATTCCTTATGATTCAACAGTTACAATTGAAAGTGGAACAATATTAAAATTTTCACGTGGTGCACAATTTATTGTTCGTGGTAGACTTTTAGCTAAAGTAAAAAAGAAAAAAATTTTTTTTTAATTTTTTTTATAAAATAAATAAAATTTAGGGTACACCAGATCGACGTATTATATTTACAAGTTCAACAAGTGCACTTTATCATGATCAACAACAAATTCATCGAATATCAAATACAAATATTCGATTTCGTCTTGTTGATGGTTCAAATATTCAAAATGGTCTTTTACAAATGTATTTTAAAAATCGATGGCGTTATGTTTGTACAGAATTTTATCGGTACATTTTTTTTTTCTTATTTATATAAAGATTTTTATATTAAAAAATAATTTATTTTTTTTTCTATTGTAAAGATGGTTTGATTATGATGCAACATTAACATGTCGTATGATGGGTTTTCGAAATGGAAGTGTTATACCATATCATATAAATGGTAGTGAATCACCATGGTATGGTTTACAAATTGATCATCCAGCATGTCAATTACATAAAGATGAACATTTATTGGATTGTCCTGGTGTACGTGTACCACCTCAACTTGGAATACATATATGTGGTAAATAATTGTTAAAAGAAAAAACAAGATTTATTTTCTTTAGCTACTAACTAATTATATAATATTCTTATGAACACAGCGGGAATTGTCACATATTGCTTTATTCTTGAAGTTCGAAATGAAATTTAAGAAGTGTTTATTTTAAAATAACATCAAGGTTTTTTTTATATTGACAAACATAAAGTCTATACGTCTTTTTCTATAATAGAATATTTTTGATTGATTTAGTAAGATTTTTATTCTAAAATATGAATATTTTATAATATTGTTATGAATTTGAATTAAAACTTTAAAAGAATATTCTAATAGATATTATAAATAATATATAAAATTGAAATTCTAATAAAAATAATGCGAATAAAAGAATCTCAATTTTTCTTAGAACTATTCAATTCTATAGTATGAAATCATTTTTTTGGATATATTTTTAAATTTTTATTATGAAGTAAGATTGAACAATTATCAGTAAAGAATCATGTCGGATAAAATAACTAGCCTTCATTTGAAAAGTTATTTATATCAGAAACTTGTATTACATTATAAAATTGCTTTTCATCAAGCTTTTATAATTTGAGAAGCCATAAATGACAGCAATTATGAATGATCTGATCAAATATTAAGGCTTAACTAGTATGTCTTCATTCATTGATATCTAATAATTTTCAAAAATGACTTTTTTTCGTATCTAAAGCCATATCATGTTAATTAACTTCGGTAATTGTTGTTTCAATTTGTTAGATACTATTTTTCAAGGATAAAGTTGATCAACCGTATCGCTGTGTCTCATAGTCAAAACGGACATTTATTCAACTCTTACGAATAGAAAAGTTCACGAATTTTACAATAAATACTTTTTTTGAGTAGAAAAATTTCTTTCATTCAATAAATAAACAATTCATCATGCTCTGTCATTTGACCTTTCGAAAATGGTGAAAAAAAAAAATTTTTAATTCTTATAAGATACTGAACATGTATTGAATTTCAGAAAACTTCATATTCTAATTATATGCGATTGCTTAAAATCTAAAATGTAAGAAACAAACCAAATTGAAAAAAAGGAATGTTTGTAACAGTTCATTTTCGTATCTTCTCCATGGATTTTGAAAGTAAGAACGTTTTTTTTTCGCCATTTTCAAAGATAACATTCTTGACGTAGTTCTTAGTCTCTTCAAGAGTATCAAATGTGACATTAGAATAAACAAAATCTCACCTATGTATTTCTATCGGATTCGATGATCAACGTTTCATCAAAAAATAAATAGTAGGAATTTTAGAGTAAACTGACACATTAAAACTTATTTCACATTTTGAATGTAATATTTTTAAGCTAGAAATCTGATGATTTGTTACGCATATTCAAGATTGAAGTCAAACATTAAAATGACACTTATAGCTTGAACTATTCAAAGCTTTATGATGATAATTACTCAAAAAGTTTTTAGATTTATTATTGAGTAGAATTTGGTTTTCTTCTATAACATAAACAAAGAAACTTGTGACAAAACTGCTCTCGCTTATTTTTGTTTTTTTTACTTCTTCTTCTTTCATTACTCTAGATCAATTTATTCAGTAAGAAAACTAATAATGCACATTCTAATTTCTGCTTTATGTTTATTTTTTTTTTCTCGCATGCACGCTTTTTCTTGTTTTCTGCTTGCTTTAATTATTGTGTATGGCTTGTTTTCTTTTTATTCTTGATAGTTTATATTTATTTATTTTTTTTTTTTATAAATAAATTTAGATAATAAACAATATGTTCGTCTTCAATGTGATGGATTTTTTGATCCATTAGTTGTTCTTAATTGGGGTGGAATTGTTTTTGAAAGAAAAATTCAATCAATCGAACAATCTGATATTCCATATATATCAGATTCAGCATCATCATTATTTAATAATCCTAAACAACAACCATCTATACTTAATTATGTTGATATTTTACATGCTGGTTTAAGACCAGAATTAACTATACGATCATATGCTGAACGTTATGCTGCTATAACTGTATTTGATAATATAATTAATCCAATATTTGATAATATTACAATACTTTATTCTGCATCAGATGGAATGAATTTTTCTAATATTGGAAGTTCTATTCGATTAAAAAATTCTATATCAGCTTATAATCGAGGTAAAAAAAAAAAGAAACAAACTCTTGATTTTATTTTTTGCTTTTTATATTTTCTAGGACATGGTATTGTTGTTACAAGTCGATATGGAAATGTAACATTAGATAATGTTCATATACATAATAATGCTGGTGATGGTGTACATTATACATTAAATAATACAGAATGGTCAATTCGAGAACAAGAAGAAAATCCACAACGATTATATAAATCATTTTGTGAAACAGCAAATACAGTAGAATTTCCAAATTATTTTACTTATAGACCACCAACAGCTGGAACTTGTTGTACACAAGTAAAATAAAAATAATATATTGATTTTATTTTTTTTTGAAAAAGAAATTTTTTTATTAAAAGACTTTTTCTTCATTATATAATACACGATTAACAGTTCATTTTCAATCAGTATTTGTTGGTAATTATCGTACACGTTTTCGTGTTGAAATTTATGATGGAAAATTTGATATTATGCCATTATTAGCAAATATAACATTTAATAGAACAATAGAAAGTTTATCATCATATTCAAATGAATTACTTGTTCGTTTATGTCATTCATGTGATGATGTTCGAAGTCGTTCATGTTGGAATCAATCTGATCGTATACAACTTTATGTTGTTAATGATATTGGTAAATATTATTTGAAAAACTCCCCCCAAAAAAAAAACAATACGAAAGGAATTATGTAAAATAAAGATAAGAATTACGTGTCAAAATACAGTTGTATAGAGAAAGGTTAAACATGAGGATTGATATATTGACAAAAGAAACATGTTTAACAAGTGTGATAGTTTTATCAGTTATTAGGAGGATTTTGTAATAATAAGAAGAATAATATTTTCTTGAATAAACAATACTTATTGATACTCATCTGATATCAAAATATGTTAATGATATTTAGTCATAATAAAAAAATCGAAGAAGAAAAACATTTCTGCATTTCAAATAATCTTGTGGTATAGACTATTACCTAGTGGCAGATTCAATAACGTGATATTTTCCCCCATGACTAACACTAGTTTGAATACATAGTCAGTCAACCATGATAACTTTTAAAATAAAGTGAAACCTTTCACTTTTTGAATTCTCTTGAATTCTAATTGCTGAATACTTAATTGAAGCCGCGAATTTCTCAAATATTCACATTTTCAAAACCTAGTTAATAAAAGCATAATATGAACAAAGTTCAGTACACTATTTATGGTTCGTTGGTTATTTAGAGGAAGAAGAAGGAAAAAAAAAAGGGTTATTGAGAGTAAGTGTATCTAGAGAAAACACCGATCTATTCACTATCACTACTCATTCACTCATACTTTTCGTCCAAACAAGCAACAGACAGTCAATCATATAAACCGAACAATGTATATAACAAAACTCGATAATTATCAAAAGTCAATATAGTATACAATTGATGTTATCCACAAAGAATTATATTAATTCAAACAGGTCTCTTTCAATAGCTTATGATAAGAGGGGTACGTCATTGTATGGATCGGTGACGACGGTTGACATTTTTTGATAAGTTTTGAAATAAAAACGGTGCTAGAGAACTTATTGAAAAATAAATAGACGATTATTTGATACATTGAAGATTTTTAAAAATTAAATATCTATTTTCATGCCATGGCAATTTCGTTGATCGACTTATAATTCATTCGATATTGTTCTTAACGATCTGTTGAAAAAATCGTTCTAAATATAAATTTTAATTAATCATCTTTTTTATGTCAATATAGGTCGTGATGCTGATATACATATATGGAATAGTCGTATTGTAAATAATTCTTTAAATGGAGTTCGTATTGTAAATTTACGTAGTCTTATTGAAATTAATCAAACATTAATCAATTATAATCATCGTCATGGTCTTGATATTGATTCTGGTGCAGGTATATATATATTTTTTTTTAATTATCTTTTATTTCATATTTATTTTTAATTTCAATAAATTTATAGGTGCTCTATGGACATATCATTCAAGTTTTAATTTCAATAATGAAGATGGTATTCATATAATTTATGATGGTGGTGAACGTCGTCTATTTTATTCTGATATATCATTTAATAATCAACATGGTTTATCTGTACGTCTTGATTCAGCACCAATTGGTTCTCAATTATCATATCTTGATTTTTCGACATTTGCATATCGTCAAATAACATTTATAAATGGTTCATCAATACGATCAAATGGTTTTTATGGTTTATGGCATCGTTCTACATGTCATCCAGCATTATTCTATATAAATGGTTCATTATTTGAACGTTCAGTATATGATGCTATTCGTTTTGATTCATGTCAACATGAATGGCGTCCACAAAAAGTAATTGATTATCAATTTCGTTCACCAATGATACCATTTAATAGTTTATTACCACCACCACCACCACCAAGTATTATTTATCAAGCACCTATAAATATTTATCCACAATATCCACCATGGATACCAGTTGCTTTATTATATGCTAATGAAACAGGTAATACAATATTTAATGTTATATGGAATCGTTTTTTAAATAATAAACGTGTTGGTTTACGTTTAAATCCAATACAAAATATTCTTGGTGATATAACAAATAATTCATTTATTGGACATGAAAATGGTGCTTTATTAATTGTTGGTAATAAATCAAATTGGAATGAAGATATTTATTTACGTAATGTTACATTAAGAATATTATTTAATAATTTTACAAATAATAATGGAAAAAATTTTATTGTTTCACTTGATTTAAATGAATTATCACCATATCAAACAATATTATTTATGTATAATCGTTTAATTAATAATAATATAACATATAAAATATCAAATGATTTAAATTCACGTTCACGTATGTCTGGTATATTAACTATTGGTTCAAGTCATATAAGAATAACAAGAAATATTTTTGGAAATAAACAAAGTCAATTTGATATTGTTAGTCAATTAATAAATTCTAGTGCAATTATTAAAGCAGATATGAATTTTTTTACAACTATTTATCCACCACCAATTACTTTAACACGAACACCACTTAGTACATATGAAAGAAATCAACATTTACAGGTATAATAATGATATATTTTTATTCTCTATATATTTCTTCAAAGATATATTAGTTATAAGTATTATATAGGAAATACGATTAATTATAGGTATTTAAAAAAAAATCAAATTATTAGTACAAAAGATTTAGAAAATATGATATCATTAAATTCAATACAAAATTAATTTGTACTATGACATTCATTATAATATGTTATGTCATATTACAAAAAAAAAAAGATAATTTTCTATCGATAGAAGAAACTCATATACAGGTCCTGAACAAAAGAAATCTTTCTTTCGTAGAATTTCAGCGACTGTAAGACGGCCAATGATCTGAAAATTTGTCTGTTCTTACTGTAATATGAATGTAAATCAATAGCACTCATTGTCTTGAATAGATATTTAATGGAAATTTTCTTGTTTTCAAGTTCTAATCCTTGTTCTTTCTGAATTTTTCGTTCGGAATCATTCGTATGAAAGAGTGAGCATATTATAGGTTGTCATATATATCTTTGTGAAGACTTGCCAGACTTTTCTCTAGAGAAATATGATATACATATAGGTATCTTGTTCGTATCGAAGATTTAATAATAAGAATATTCAAACAAATGAATTTACGTTTTTAATATAGAAAGATCATGTGTATTTGATAGGAAACAAAAGCAAACTTTAAAAAGATTTCTTTTTTATGGTTATAAAATTCAAACTAAAAAAAATAGATCATTCAAGTAATCGAAATTCAGATGGTGCTATTAACCTTCATGCTTGATAGAATATGTATACACAAATTTTTTAGCTCTGTTATGTCGATTGAGATTCAATAGGAAAAAAACTTTTGTTCAGCACTCTAGATCTCTTATAATCATGTGTATTTATAAAAGTGATTGTTTCAAAGTGAAAAATATTACTTTATGTTATACGTTAATTTTGTCATAATATAACTTAATTTTATTTAGTCTGCTATACATAATTATCAATTATATCAAAATCAAGAAATTCCATTACGACAAAAATCTCCATTACGTCGTATAATTAATCGTACACGTCGTCAACAACAAATACAAGTTCAACCTATTTCTCAAATAAGTTATAGTTATCTATCAGAACCATATGATCTTCGTACAGATTTTTTTCCACCAGATTCTGTTTTTCAACATCCATATTCTCCACCACAAACTGTTGAATATTATTTACCAAATATTCGAAATGAAATATTATCTGTACCATCAATAAATAAATCAATATTACTTTCAACAATAAATAATGATTGGCCATATTATGCATCACCAGCATCATCAATACCATATTATTATTCACTTTATTATGATCGTCCAGAAATATGTTTTTCTCAATGGCCAAATATTCGTGAAAGAATATTTGATCAACATAATCGATCAAATTTAGCACCTATTATATGGTATCCATTTTTATGTAGTGATAGAAATATTACAACGGAAATTTGGCATTGTCAATTACCTAATTGTGGTTTTGAAACAACAAGTTTTCATATTAATCCATTAACATCAACAATAGGTGGAATAATTGATACAGATTATAATTTATCACCAGGTCATTATATTGTTATAAATGATATTTTAATTAAACCAGATAAACGTTTAACAATTCAAAGTAGTCAATTAGAATTTTTAAATGGTATTGGAATATTTGTTCATGGTGAATTAATTATACAAGGTGTTGATGGTTCACCAACACGTTTTGATTTATTTCATAATAAATCTTCAACAAGTATTTTAGTTAATCAACAAAAACAACAAGAACAAAATCAACGTGAAATTAATTTAATTGATGGACCAACAATATATGAAGGTCGATTATTTATTATAAGTCAAAAAGATGGTTCTGGTACAGTATGTAATCATGGTTGGACTAAAGAAAATTCTATACTTGTTTGTATGTCATTGGGTTTTATACATGATCCAAATGATTATTTATATCCAATGATGAATATAAATCAAACAATAATTAATGATCCAATTATATGGAGTGAAGTTGATTGTGATTTATATCAAGATCAAACTATTGAACAATGTAGAAAAGAAACTGTACATACATGTGATCATATAGATGATGTTTGGATTAAATGTTTACCTCCTTCATGGGCTGGTAAGTGATTTTATTAAATATAAAACTTATAAAATACAAGCAAAAAGAGATTGTTAAGTATCTAAGTCATCGTACAATGCAAAAATCGAGCTGATTAAGTTATGAGGAAACTCATCGATAACCAAATACCGATTCTCTTTCGAGTGAAATCGATTAATTTTTAAAGCAAAAAAAAAAAATTGAAGAGATTTAATTTTTTAGAATTAACTAATACTTGAATGTTGATATGTTCACTAAACATTTATTTGAACTTCGGATTTTTCATATTGATATTCATCAAGAATGATATCTTGTTCAATGAATGATTGCTGTAATTCAGAAAATCTAATTTTCCAAATTTCAATTCTCTATAGCAATAAGATAAATCTTACTACATACGTAAATTTTCGTTTGTCTCAAAATCGCTTTTTTTTACACAAAACATATCTAAACATTTGTTTTTGTGATACGTTCTATATTTTAAAATTCTTTGTAATACAAAAAACAACAATAATTTCTAACTTCTTCTTTTTTTTGTTTTTTTTTTATTTAATTTTAGGTGTTCATATTTTTCCAACATATAGTAAAATTCAATTAGAATTTGTTCATTTTGATTCAGCTGGTCAATATGATATACATAATGATGAAATTCATGCAGCATTACATATTGATTTACTTTCACATCCATTAAATATATTAAAAAATTTAACATTTACAAATAATATAATAGGTTTACAAATAAATCATATACATCCAATAAATTTAGATTATTCAATAATATATCATTCATCATTTAATTATAATTATTATCTTGGTGTTTTACTTCGTTCAAGTTTTTTTAATTTTTCACATTGTACATTTACACATAATAAATATTCAGCTATGAAATTTGATTCATCATATACATATAATGAACTTGAACAATTACGTATAAATATTGGACGTAGTCAAACAATAATACATACAATTGATTTATTATATGATCAATTTTATGAACTTGAAAGAAATAAATTTGCATATATAACAACAACATTTGGTGGTTATAATTCAAATGATAATATATTATTTAATACATTAAATATTCGTACAGATCCATCATTTATATTAGTTATTGATCTTATTGATTATAATCCATTATCAAATATAAATGAACAATTAATTATATGTGAAGTTGAATGTTATCAACGTCTTGGTTTAATACAAAATTTATCATATAAAAAATGGTCATTAGCTAATGATAGAGATTTATTTCCATTAATAACAACATATTCAAGTATACAATTTCATTATCGTCTTTATCGTTATCGTACAAGTCGTTTAACATTTATTATATATAGTATACCAGCACCAATATTTATTCAAGGAAAATATTTTTCTGATATATCAATAAAATTTCATCGATGTTTATTTTCATATAATCAACATGATATTATTTATTATTTAAATGATCGTGAAAAAACAAATAATCAATATGCATTAACAAAACAATTAAAAACTGATATTGAACGTTTAATTGAACAATTATTAATAGGTACAAAACTAAATAATAATAATAATAATAATGATCCATCATTTGATATTATTGAAGAAGAAAATGAAAAAATTCGTCAAGAATTTCAACAAGAAGAATTTCAAGATAAACAATTTAAACGTCAAATAACAATAATTAATATAAAAAAACGTTATAAAAATTCAACAATACAAATAAATGAATGTTTATTTGAATATAATCAAAATCGTAGTATATTAATTGAACATCAATCAAAAAAATTATATTCAAATCAAGTTGAAAATAATATTAAAATGTTAATGAATGAAACTATACAAGAAAAAAAACAATTTATACCAATACAATTTACATGTAGAATTGATAAATCAATTTTTATTAATAATCAACAAGGTTAGATAAAACATCTTTTCTTTTATATAAAATGTACTTTTCCATAGATATTCATATAAATAGATAACTCTCTTTTGTGAATAGTAAAAGCCATCGATTTCAATTAAAATTTATTTGTAAATAATAAGAAAAAATTCCAATAGACTTTTTCTATGTTGTGAAACACGATCTGAAAGGAGTATTGAAGTGTATAGGGTAGAAAATTGAACCCACACCCCTCCCCTCGCCTACCGACCGTGACGGAGAAACTAGTTCTAAAAAAAAACAATTTCCATTTAATTAGTAATAATAGATGCATTGTGTTTGACATTTTTAATTCTGCAGGGATTGTGCTAATAGCTTTCTTAAATAATTTTATTTTTTAGTACTCAATCTTGATGCTCATCCATTAATATTTTCTGATCGTCTTATTCGTTTTGAAATAACTCATACAAATTTTACACATAATCATAATCTTCTATTAAATTTAACATTTCCTCGTTTATATCCATTTAATCGAACAATTTTTGCTAGTCAATCTATATGGCCATATATTTCAACAATATCTATTCATACATTAACACCATTAATATATACAATACCATCACATGGTATACGTATATATAAAAATATATTTCTTGAAAATGAATATTGTTCTATACGTTTAATGGGTTATCATACATCATTTAATTTAACACAATCATTATTTGAAAATAATTATAATCATCAAACATCATTAATTGATTTACGTGATATAGAAAAAGATATTCTTATTAATGAAAATATATTTTTACGTAATCAAGTAAATAATTTATTATCATTTGATTCTCATAGTCATGCACCATTTCATAATAATTTACTTTATCAATCATTAATATCATTTAATCAATTTATTGATAATAAACCATCATTATTTACAATATATCCATATTTACCATCATCATGTATACGTATTATTGGTTCACATAATATAACAATACAAAGAAATTTATTTGAAAATATTCATTATGATTATGAATTAATAAATGCATTAATAACAGATACAATTAATACAACATTAGATGCAACTATTAATTGGTGGGGTTCGGATGTTTTACAAGCTATACATAATCGTATATTAGATTTTACAAAACGTTCTGATCATGCATATGTTAAATGGAATCCATTTCTTGCTTGTAGAGAATTAACATGTGGACAAATTCAATTACCTATAGAAACAATATTACAAATGAATAGACCATTACGAGGTTTAATAACATCAAATACAATAATACATAAAAGACATGAACCTTATTTAATAAATGGAGATATAATTGTTATGCCTGGTATTAAATTAACTATTGAATCTGGTGTTGAACTTCATTTTGCACCTAATACTGGTTTATTAATATTAGGACATTTAAATGCTAGTGGAACACCAAAAGATCCTATTTATATGAGATTAGCAAATAAAAAATTTGTTATTGAACAAATTGCTAATGGACATAATCCATTTCAATATCATTTTACTGATGAAGTTCCTTTTTCAAAATATAAAGTAAGTAAGAAAAAAAATTTCAAAGTTTTTCTGAATGCATCAAAAAAGTGTGCTATACTCTAATCTAATTGATTACTCAAACATTTATGTTTTTTTTTAATTAACTTCACAAAGCAAATATTTCGGACTTCTACTTTTAATAAAACTAAAACACAAAAAAAAAGGAAATCCAATAGGTCTATTCTTCATATGGTAGAATGCTGATTCGTTATTAGTTGTAATAACTTTGAAGATATTCTGAAAATCATCGATAGTATTTTCAAAATGTTCATTTTAGAAGATACATGTAAAACATTCTAATGTTGTTTTAGTCAACATTCTTCGTTTCCTACTAATCGACAACCTGTCCCACGAAGGATCCTCTTCCGGTCTTTCCTTTGTGATTTCAATAATTCTTATCAGTTTGTCTTTTAATAAAAACTGAGTTTATATTGAAATTTGACTAACAAGGGAGCATTCTCAGCTGTCACATCGATTTTAAGTCGAATGTATACGCATTATGTAGACCCTCACGATCTATGAATTCTCTGGAAAAAGTTCGTGCCGCTAGCTTATTATTGCTGAGATACTGCGTTTTTACTGTATGTTTAAGAAAAAAGAGCCGTGGTCCCCTCCGGAACACTGGAAAAACTGAATTTCGACTTGAAACTTTGCATAGATATAAGCCTCAACGAGAATATTTTTATTGTGAAAGTTTCAGCTCTTTTCGCTGTTCTTATCCTAAGATACAGCTATGGTAAAATTGCTCATATACACCAACAGATCCGATGTTCTTATTTCAGACTAGGACCAACTAAAAAACCTGAAACCTTCACAATAAACTAATCTCATTGAGGTCTGTCTACATGCAAAGTTTCAGATGGAAACTCAAAACTCACTTTTCCGGATGTTCCTGAGGGGGACCACGGCTTTTTCCTGACACATAGAGTAAAAATGCTATATCTCAGCAGTAAGAAGCTAGCAGCACGAACTTTTTTCAGAGCATTCATAGTTCATTAGGACCTACATGATGCCTATACACTCGACTCAAAAACGATGTGACAGTTGGGAATGTTCCCTCGTAAGTTACCAAAGTTTTTTTTTTCCAATAGTATCATATTTTCGTTTTTTTATTTTTAATTAGACTGTCTTAAATTCAAATTTTCTTGGAAATTTTTTTTTATTTTATTTTAATTTTAGTTTAATCCTCTAATTGATCGTTTACAAATTCGTCTTGATATTGGTCGAACAGCTAATGAAGGTTTTCTTCAAATATATAATTGGACACGTCGTGATTGGTCATATGTATGTTATGATACATTTCGACAATTATTTTCTTATCGTTTAATATGTCATCAACTTGGTTTACCATGGAAAAATGTTCTTGCACATTCAGATTCATTTTATTTATTTGATTATCAAAAATTACCTTTATGGCAAGAAAAAATTGATTGTTCAGGTAATGAACCATCAATATCATCATGTTCATTTACAATTGAAAATAATAATATATGTTCAAAATTATTTTATATATCATGTTATGATGATAATCTTTTCTATACACTTAATTCAAATATTCAACCAGAATTTTCAAATAATCTTGGTGGATATCCATTACCACATTCATCACCGTTCGTATTTGATTTAACACAAAACAAAATTAATTTTTTTTTTCTTTTTTTTATCTTATTCTAGAACTTATGAAAGTCCACAATCTTGGAATGGTATTATTTTTGCTAATAATGAATATGAAGAAGATTTATCATCATTAGATTATACAAGACATGATCAATCTTTACTTCGTTATGTATTAATATCAGAAACAAATGATTATCAACCAGCTATACAAACAATTTATCGTACACCAGCTATTGAACGTATACATATTGAACATAGTCGTTATATTGGTTTTGAATTTCTTTTACCAAAACAATCAATTTTATTTGGTTATAGTCGTATAACAAATTCATTAGATTTAGCTATTAATGGTCTTGTTTATTATGGACAATCAACACATGATAAATCAACATTTGATTTATTATATGAACAAAATATTAATGGAAAACCTTTTAGTTTACTTAATTTATGTAATGCACATAGAATTATTAATGTTAAATATCGTCTTATAACATATTATAAATATGAATATAATTATCGAACATGTTCAAAATTATTTTGTTCAAATAATCCATATAAAATTGGAATCAGATTTTTTCAAGTAAGAAAAAAATAAATAAAAGTATCAAGTTTATTTTGATATTCTATCCATTTGAGTCAGATTTACAAGAGTGAGAAAGTCCGTCCTATGATTCGTAATCAGTTCCACTCGAAAAATGATATATGAAAGTTACCCAAGGAAAAATTTTTCCTTGGGTAAAACAAGAATACTATGTTCAGATTCAGTTTTCGGGCTTCCATTCGAGATGTGTAGAGTGTAGTCGGAGTTAGAAAATTTGTACCAGTCAGAGTATAGAGTATGAAAAACCTTATTCTGTACATTTCTACCTTTTGGTGGGTCATCATGTCAGAAACTGTGTAGAAGTGGCTGTTGGACATGATCATAAAAATACATGTATTCATAAATCTTTGCTTATTTTTTTCATATGATGAAGTTGTTATGTGTTTTGTCTTTCTAATCTCGAATCTTTGCTGATTATAGAATGTGAAAACTAGAATATTTTTATTCTTATATTTTAGGTTAATTTATTGAATAGTACATATCAAAATGATTGGATTGAAATTCATCGTGTAATAAATGATGAAGATGGTAATGAAAAAAATGAATTATTAATTTATTTAACAAATGGTTCAAGTAATGCAGCATGGAAACATTTATATAGTATTGAAAAAGGTTGTTTAAGAGTAACAATATATGCATCAAGTGGAAGTAAAATAAATGGTTTTATGGCAGAAGTAACACTCTATCCTATAACACCATTTTGTAAGTAAAAAAAAATATTTTTATTGTTATGAATTAAAAAAAAAACAAAACAACTTTATATGTTTAGCTACACGAGAAATTGTTCATCAAATATCTGATAATGTCTTTTTGGGTAATCAACAAGGTGTATTAAAATATACATCAGCAGGTGAACGATCAGCTAATTTATATTTTCAATCAAATACACTACTTTATAATGGTTATTATCGATATAATTCTTCATCATCACCAATAAATTTATTTCTTTTTCAAAATTCTCAACGTTTTTATTTTGGAAATAATTGGTTAAGTAGAAATTTAGGTGGAACATATATACAATGTTATAGTCAATCATTATCATCAATATTTAATGGTCATATTTTCAATAATATTTTCTATCGAAATAAGTAAATTAGGTTTTTTTTTGTTTCTTCATAAAATTTACTATTATTATTTGTTTTTTTCTTGTTAGAAATGATTCTGTTCTTACATTTAATGGTATGGAAATGTCAGCATTTTGTAATTTATATGCTATACAAAATGCTATTATGTTCAATGATGCATATGATCGAAATATAATTAATTTTGATTCAGTTGTAGCTAATTTTAGGTATGTTTTAATGAATGATAATCTTATGTTACAGATCAAATTTTATGTAGTTAATATGAAGATTTTATTAGACGTAATACATACAAGACAAATGATCTATGCAAGAATATTTTGAAGAGGCGGAATCAGTTTTACAGACAAAAAAAAACTTTTTAGATTTAATACAAATAAATTCTGAAGTAGTTTTCTTCAATGAGAAAACCTAACTAAATATAGATCAATCATTTCAGTTGAAATTTATTAGAATTTTATGAAGGTCAAGAGATCTATTTTAGATTGAAATTTTGAGATTAAGATTTCTTGATTTGAATTTGTTCATAGCAGTCTGTACATTGATTATAATTCAAGAACAAGGACTTAATCGGAAGAGTTCTTGTAGAATTTTTATCTACATTATGAATTTAAACAATGTCTATCAATTGTTGAGGTTCTTTCATTAGTCGGGATCGACGCAAGACTAGATTTAACAAAACTATGGTACGATCAATATGAAAAAATAGTTAACGAAATTAAAAACCTAAGTTTTCAAGAGCTAGAAGGCACTAACTTCATCAAACTTGCTCATATAGATAGTCGAAGCATGAACATTGAGAAATCCTACTCTATATTTGCGTTTTATAGGCTCATATACTTTTCTTATTCCATTAGATCGATGTTAATAAAGATTTAACACATTTTTTTAATGTTTGAACTGTTTTTTTGTTTAGTCGTAATCAAGTATATAATAATACTGGTGTTAATATTGTATCAATGGTTGGTTTTGAAAAAATAACTGCACCATTTCCAGCTATGGAAATGAATTCATTTCGAAATAATCGAGCTGTTGGTCAACTTAATCAACAATTATTTGATAGGTTTGCTTGTATTATTTTATATTTTATTGAAGTTTATCTTTATTTATGTTAAGAACGGGTGCTGTTATTGAAATTGGTAATCCACGTCAATTATATATGTTTAATACATTCGATAATTGGGATAGTCGATATGAAATGCGAACAAAATCACGTCTTTTGTATGAAAAACAAAAAAAAAAGAAAAGAAATCATTTATATTGATAATCTAAAATTTATTTATTTATTTTGAATTATTTAGTGAACCAAATCGAATGGAATCTCGATCTGTAAATGCTTCATTAAATTTTTGGGGACGTATTGGTGATATTGATGATATTGGTGCACGAATTTATGATAAATTTGATAATAAAACATTAATAGAAGTTAATTATTATCCACCTTATCTTGATTCTACTCGTCTTCGACAAGGTTTTTATTACAAAAAAAAATTCTTTTTGTTATTTTTTTACATTTTTATTTAATTTTTTTTAAAAAGGTAAATGTGATCCAGGTTGGACACTTGATGATACATTATGTTATATGTATTTTGGTGCTATAACAACATATCGTATAGCACAAGAAATGTGTGCAAGTGTTGATGCTCGAATAACACAACGTGATACACCACTTAATCGCATTGTTATTCTTCGTTCATTAGTACGAACATCACAATATCAAGGTATTAATAGTGATGCTGTACCATCATCGGGTATTTGGTTAAGAAAAGATCATCATGAATTTTGTCGAATATTTAATGATATGGAAACAATGGATGTTAGTTGTAGTTCAACAGCTGCATTTATTTGTGAAAAAGGTAATTTAAAATTTTCAAATAAATTTGATTAATGAAAAGTTCAAAGAGTATATTGTGAGTTTCGATTAGTTTGCAACTGGATTTTGAAAAAGATAACAATTAAGTAATCATAAAGTGTTTCGTTTCTAAATCGTACAACGAAACTACAAGAATTGATATCCCTTGTTTGAATTCATCTTGAGCATACAAAGAATTATCAGTAAGACTAGGACAAATTGAGAAGGTTAGTTTATATGGATATCTAGACTGAATGGAGTTTAAAGAGTTATAATTGTTAAAAACTGTCACTTTTCTCCAAATTTTGAGAAAATTAATCTCTTTTTCATAGATCAAATATCTTTAGAAAACTAAATTTATTGTATATGAAAAACTCCATAAATTTGTACCGAATTTGAGTATTTACGCCATCTTTCCTACTTGCCTCGTAAGACAAAGTCTTCTTATAACGCAATGTGTATCTTAAACTCTATATCCACTCTAGAAACTATTCTAGGATCGACAAAAAAAATTGTTACTTATAAATTATTTAATATATATATATGTTTACAAAATGTTTGTATTTTAGAACAACAATTTGATGGTTTTAAATTAATTTTTCGTAATGATTTACTTCTTGCTATAGCTGGTATAATTTTAATGATTATATTAATAATATTATTTGTTTGTTGTTGGTTATGTAAATCTCGTCAACGTCGTAAAGATAATTTTCATCGACAAAATTCACTTCGTCGCAGTGTTAAACAAGAAATAAATAAACAATCAACATTATCATTACAAAAAAGTAATGATAATACACTTATAAAAAGTTCAACATTATCAACATTAACAAATGGTACAACAAATAAATTACCATTATCATCATTATCATTATCAAGTCGTCCATTAAGTAGTGTAACAATAAATTCTGATAATGATATATCAACATCATCACCAATTCATCATGATTTTTCAATATTAAAATTAAATCATAATATACCAAAAGCATCAACACCAGCATTAAGTGATGATAATGGTTCACAACGTGCACTTGTTCTTAATACACATACAGATCAATCAAGTGTTTATTCAACAGTTACAACTGATTCAGCAACATTATATAGAAGTCGTCGAAAATTTGAACGTATACAAACACCAACAATGCCACCATCAGCACCACCAGTTACACATCGACGTTCATTACGTAATATTAATCAACATAATTTACAACAAGATTCTACAGCAAGTGTATCAACTGGTTCAGTTTCTCCACCACCAGCATATGTATCACCAGCACATCAAACACGTCGTTATCGTTCTGATCAATTACAATTACTTACACCAAATAATAATAAAAAAACCTATGCTATTGGTGTACAAGTTGATTCATATTCACAAGCAAGTAGTCGTAGTAGTACAAAATATGAACCACCACCACCACTTGAAACTGATATTTAATAATAAATCTCTTAGTTTTGTTTTCTTTTTCTTTTTTTTTATAATATCCGTTTTTTAATCTCAGGAATGTATGAGTACTTGTCACGAATATAAATATATGCATATAGATAATCATGTACAGCGCTATGATAATGAAACAATAATAAAAGAAGTATTTTTTTGATGTTGTTTTAGTAGCAATTATGTAACTGTTTTTTTTTTCTATATTCTAGTTTTGTTTGTATATCATGTTTGAATGTGCTATCTTTTCTTCTTGTTGGATTTTTTTTTTCTTTACACATATACTAAATAAATAAGAACTAGACTTGAATGTCTTGCATTGAGATATGACTTAGTTATTGTGATAAAAAAAATGTATAGATCGCAGTAAGAACTTTCAATGAGATAAAATTCAAACTGTATATTTAAATCTTAATATTAGAAAATTTTAGATTTGAATTAAATCTAGAATGACTTCAATGAACATTGATCTTGAACGTGTGCAATTATTTCTTAACAAATATCAACCAGTTAGTAGATGATTAAAAAAAGATAAAAAAAAAAAATTTATTATCTTTCATTGTACAGAGTGATCATTCAATTGTTTTAGTAACATCAGGTGGTACTACAGTACCATTAGAAAAGAATACAGTTCGTTTTATTGATAATTTTAGTACTGGACAACGTGGTGCTGCTTCTGTTGAATATTTTCTTGAAAAACATTACATTGTACTTTTTTTCTATCGTTTATCTTCAACATTACCTTATCAACGTCATATAAAGAATATATTTGATGAATCACAATCAAATACAAATTATTATCTTGATCAATATCATAAATATAGAGATTCACTTCTTTTAATACCTTTTCAAACAGTAACAGATTATTTAAATGGTCTTAAACAACTTTGTTGTTTATTGAAACCATTTGGTCGATCAGTATTAATTTATGCATGTGCTGCTGTTTCTGATTATTATATACCAAATGATGAATTAACAGAACATAAAATTCCATCAGGTCAAAATGAATTAATTATTCGATTGAAACCTGTACCAAAATTATTAGGTTCTATTAAAGGAGAATATGCACCAGCTGCTCTTGTTGTTTCATTTAAATTAGAAACCGATGAAAAAATACTTGAAGAAAAATGTTTACATTCAGCTGATAAATATAATCAAGATATAATTATTGGAAATATGTTAACAACACGTAGAAATCAAGTTCGAATATTTGAACGAATCGAAAAACAATGGACAACAATTAATCGATTACAAGAAAATAATCAACAAGAAGAACTTGAATTTCATATTATTGAATTTTTATGTAATAAACATCGAGTTTATCAAAGAAATATGAAATAAAACGTTTAAGAATTTTTCAATTATTCTGAAAATATAGTTTTTCAGGTCATTACATCAATAACAAAATTTTTTTTCAATGTGTATCAGCAGATACAGTAAGAAAAGTTAGCAGCATATTCGAGTTATTTCTACTGATATTCGTTCCTAGAGACTCAACCCATTTGAATGAGCGAATATCAATAGGATAAACTCGAATCCACTATTAACTGTTCTTGCGTAGGTTGGGGTGTGGGTGTGGGTGTGGGTATGGCTGTCGGTGTCACTAAAGGGATTGCCAAAACTCACTCCTATATCAACACCCCCCACATCCACACCCACAGCGACAGCCGCGGTCACAGCACAGCAATAACCATGCCCGCATCCAAACCTACACCCACATCCTCAAGAGTTGATGTCACCGGTTGAGCTTTTTGACTTGACAATTTTTCTTTTCATACAGTTTATTGTTGGCAATGAAAGGGGTTCAGAAGCCAAATATACGCAGTATTATGAACGAGAAATGTAGATAGAAAAGAAGAGAGTAGAAGGCTCCTCAAGTACGAGTAGTAGAGGAAAAACAAGTGTTCACGTGACCAATATATTGTTGGGTGTGGATGTTGGCAATCCCTTTAATGGCAGCGACAGCGACAGCCACACCCACCATTCTTCCTTCTCCTGGAATATTCGCGACAACAATTCTTTCGTTCTTCATCTACCGTTGAAGAAGGTCACTTCTTACTTCTCCTTTTCTCGTTTAAAAGCATGCACACTTTTTTGCGCCAGTAGCAGCATTCTTTCATCGTTTTTTTCGTTGACAGATTTGCGTGCATTTTGTCGTAACTCAAATCAATAGTCATGGTTTCTGAAGGCAAAGAACATGCTATTCAACATTTGTCCACTGCAGAATTAGCTTTTATCGCCATGTAGACAGACGTGAAAGGTGGTTTGGCCAAAACTCATCATGCACCAATAAATTCATATAAGGTAACGTTCGAAAATATTAAAGTGGTACGAGGTTATCTCGATCGAACTGATCATGGTACCCATTTCGAATACTGTCAAAGTCCTAAAGGTTTAAAATTCAAGACAGAAGAAGAAAATGATGAACAAGCAAGACAAGCGGCCGAAGAAGATGAAGCCAAGGAGCCCAAAGAGGATAAAACTTATTTGGCCATTCTTGAAAGTCAAGAACACATTGAAGTTCTTGTCGAGATTGATTCCAAAGATATCAACGAAATTATATAGAGTGTTCGAGACAAGCAAACGGCGCTCGTTTGATCGAATAATTATTCTGAAACAAAATTTTCTTTGATAGAAAACGACTGTGTCAAGATTATTTTTCTGTGTTTTATTGAGAAAAAAACAGAGAGAAAATCATTCATTTGTCGCAGTGAATTACTACTCTTTATTTTCAGAACGACATGTCAACGATTCCAAAGATCGAGAAAACAAACCAAGAGCGCGAGGGCTGTGCGCCTGACGCGAAGTGTCACGAATAGGGGTGTCTCTTTCGGATTTCTGTTTCCGAAAAACCGAAACCCGTGGGTTCCCGGGTTGGGTGTGGGATGTGGATAGGTGCGAGTAAAGATGTGGGTGTGAATATTGGTGGGGTGGCTGTGCGTGGGGTGTGGTTGTGCGTGAGTGGAATCTTTTCTTCACTGACACACACAAGCACACGCACATTCACACTCCCACCCACGCGATCACGCAGTTGTCACTTTATACTAACGAAAAGTTTTAACATAATAAAACTACTATTTCTTAACTTTCATATTGCATATTTGATCGATTTATAAAATATCAATACAGAAAAGGAGGTTTTCAATGTAAGATCTTCCACACTTGAGCTTATGTCGATAAGAATAGAGCACGACGACAATCATCAATTTGATAAACGAAAAATAATTAGTTACCTCGATCTTGCGTAGAACTACCATATTTTAATTGAAAATTGAGAGTAACATCGTTATGTGACAAGATCATCTTGAAAACTTACAAGATGTCCAGTTAGAAATGATTTTTGTATTTTTTCAACTGAAAGATAGAACAATATCGGCTTCATAATCTAATGGAAACGAGAGCTCTTTTCCTTATCGCGTTTTTAGAGATGTCTGAAGACATCTAAATTGTGAAATGAACAATATTTGACAGATTTTAATCAACACATTAATTTTATTGAAGAAAAGTAAACAGTTGATTTGTTGATTCTTCTATTTGGAAAGAACAGATACTACTCTATGATTAGAATGAATTACATGCAAAAAGACGGTACTGAAGTCAGATCAAGATTTATATTAAATGCAAGCGAAATTGCCGCTTTATTCCGTGTCATTGGTTCATTTTTTTGTCTTTAGTAAATAAAAGACGAGCAGAAGACATGAATATTGAATACTGCTCAGTCAAAAATATCCAGAATACGTGTTGGTTACTCCGCCACTCATCGTTATTGCCACCACATAGGTATCAGCGCTGGCTATATGTTGTGTTCCAGTCAAATCAAACTCACCGGCAACAAGGTAGGAACTACTCCAGCAGTTGACAACTTGTCCACTAACAATCATCCATGTATAGATGATATGTGTGCTATTAGCAGTATGCGAAGAACTTAGTGTTCCGCCCGGAAATGAATTGTAAAGACCATGGTATGTTAAACCGGCAGTCTTTTTTATAATGATCTGAATAGTAATGTCCGTCCAAGTAGTCAAACAGCTAATGAAGAGCTTGTCATAGCCATAATAGTTCTCTGTATATGGCACTGCACTAACAATTGCTGTCAAAATAAAGAATAAAAACACTCAATTGAAGTATTTACAATTATAAAGACGTAAACAAGCTACTTTGCTATTTTGCACTGTGGATCGAATGAAATCTATAAGTTAAATGAACTTATATTCTTGTTATAGGATTCGATTAATATCAAAATATTATTTATTGATCAATATCTGTTTTTCTATATACTTGTATGACATTAGAAATTCTGAATATTTTGATGAATATATCACCGTGTACTTGAGACGTTAGAAATCCTGTAAAAGTCACAATTTATTATCTGAAAAACCTACTCGAAACCAGACAATGGAATATTGTCTTTCTTTTCGGTATACGCCCTTTTCTCAGCACATACTAAAATAAAATGTGTCGCAGTGATGTGTCGTTGGTTATAATGTCGCAGACTCTACCGCGAGAATGTATCGCAATTAGAATGCGGCGTGATCTGTCTGCTGACTATTCATTCATCGTTTTGTTTTGCACTTACAGCTATATATAGTCAACTCAATAGAACATGTAAGAGTTATGTATTTTATCATGTTCTTTTCGATTATGTCTTGATTAATTATTAGTCGAGAACGTATCGAGAGATCGATCAATGATGAGAGAAGGCTGCCTTGAAGTGGTCTGATCGAGATCAGACGAACTCGAGATGGATAGATCTCAACATCTGACCCTCTTGAATTTCAAGAATATTAATCATTAATTTGAATTAAATTGAAAAGATTCCATTAATTGCTTCTATAGAAAAAAAAATAAAAAATGTGCTGAGGATCAGATTCGAACTACATTTCCAGAATGTGTCGTACATTGTGTCGCAAAAGTATGGCACATGCGACACATTTTATTTTAGTGTGTAGTGTATGAGGATATTCACTATTAAGATTTGTTTTTCCCTTTTCCTATTTTCT